GGTTTTGATGGTTTCCTGTCTCACATTCAGGTCCTTTATCCATTTTGAGTTTATTTTTGTGAATGGTGTGAGAAAGTGGTCTAGTTTCAACCTTCTGCATGTTGCTGTCCAGTTCTCCCAGCACCATTTGTTAAAGAGACTGTCTTTTTTCCATTGGATGTTCTTTCCTGCTTTGTCAAAGATTAGTTGGCCATACGTTTGTGGGTCTAGTTCTGGGGTTTCTATTCTATTCCATTGGTCTATGTGTCTGTTTTTGTGCCACAGGTGATTTTTATACATACCGACGTTGAGAATCCCCAATCCAAAGAATAAAAAAAAATCCAACAGTGTGAATGTGGTATGTGTTTTATCATAAGCTCTCAATCTAATGAAATGATAGTTTTTAATTTATAAATGTGTTAACTTCATGTAAGTAGTGTGTGTGTATGTGTGTTGGTCATCAGTTCAACTCTCCATCTTTTTGGTAATAACTCTGAGTATCTTTCTCTCTAAGAACTTCAGCTAGTATGTGATTTCAGAGAAGTAGTCTCAGTTGTCCTGTACTTTGTGGATACTTGCTGAGTGACCAGATGGCCCCTTACCCAGAGTGCTCTGGATTCTATGTAGATGAAAAAAATGATTTAAATGACTGTTTCTACCAAGGTCAGCACAGAGCTAATTGGTTAGTTGCTGTTTGGTCTTTCTAACTACTACGTAGCTTTTGAACGTTGAATACTACCTTTGAGTGTTAAAAAAAAATCTGTGACCTGATTCCTAATTACCTGACATTTTAAGCCCTGCATGAAGCATAGATTCAAGATAGACCAAACTACTAGCGAAGGAGCGTAGTTGACCCATTGCACTCATTGGACTTGTGACAGATTCTAGATCACTGAGATGATTGATTGGATGATGGCAATCTGAGTAGCAAGGTTGGTTCTAATTTGCACACTTCCTGTGCCCTGCCTCCTACAGTCCTATTCATTCAACCATAAGACATAATACCCTGTGCCATGTTCACTTTTCCTTTGCATATTACTTTTCTACAAGGGAAAAGGGAACTTTACAAGGGAACTTTAGTTTTAGTTGATTTATCATAGAGACCACAAATAAAAATTTATGAATCTAAGATCTGCATGAAATCCAGTGAATACTTCTGTTTTAATAAAATAATACATTATGGAAATGGGTATTATTATCTCCAAAATATGGATAAAAAGCAACCCAGAGTTTTGCACTCATCCACTTCTTGGCATTTTAGGTGCTTTGTCTTCCACAGGAGTATAATAAATGATGTGGCAAGGGCTTACTCTCCATAAGAGAAGTAAGTGAGTGACCAACAGAAGGGTAAGGCCTTTACTGGTTAATTCTGTCTGGTAGTAAGAACCTTCTGGAATTTGCCAGTCTGAAACCAGGTTGAATATTTGATAAAGAAAAAGGAGGGCGCCTGGGTGGCTCAGTCAGTTAAGTGTCTGACTCTTGATCTTGGCTCAGGTCATGATCTCGCAGTTTGTGAGATCGAGCCCCACTTGGGGCTCTTTGCTGACAGCAGGGAGCTTCCTTGGGATATTCTCTGTCTGTCTGTCTCTCTCTGCCCCCCACCTCAAAATAAATAAATAAACTTTTAAAGAAAGAAAGAAAAAGGGGGTCAAAGAATAATATATGCACTATCCCTCACCCCTATTCTATTTCATTACTTCTTGTCTGCTTTCTTCAAATGGCACTTTCCATGGAAGTCCCTTTTGGGAATTGCTAATTCTAGTCATCTTCAGTGACGTAACCCCAGCTATTGCTCCGTCTGTCCCCTTGATTTGATTTTTCTTTTTCTCTCGAACTTTCATCACCATGGCTCTCAGATTGGACTTCTGTTTGAAAATTTAGGAATATTCTTCTTTCTCATGGGAGATAGGACATCTCCTTCTTTACTACTCACTGTAGGAACTGTTCCTGTGTACTCTTCCCCCCATAGTCTCGGGTGGCAGGTTTTGCCTGTAAATTTAAAGCAGGACTCTGGTTAAGAAACTCAGTGTAATGGCCGACCTTGGACTCATGACCTGGTCACTTTACCTCTTCAGGTGTCTTTTTTTTTTTCAGTTATAAAAATAAGAAATTGCACTAAAGAATTCGTTCTGGTTGTAAAGATCAGATTCTTTCCTAGAGCAGTTCTCTTAGCGCTTCAAGGGATGGCCATCGTATAGCATGCCTTTTGCTTTCCTTACTCTAGTGCTGAAATCTAAGAAATTGCTGTCATTTTTTTCCCCCTCTTTATCCTTCCATTTTGCTCTCTAATCACCCTGCTCTTTCCTCTTCCAGTGCAGCTTTTCTACTGAGTTGGGATTAATAATGCACTCATTTAGGCTACATGTATTGACTCTCTGTCCTCATGGTTTTCTTTTCTTGGAGTAGAAGTGCTGTGTCATCTTAGAAGAAAATAACAACTAATTTTTATCTGTTATTTTAAGTACTGTTATTTAAGTCTGTTATTTCAGTTACTGTTGGTGTATAACAAACCACCCAAAACATAGTGGCTTAAGCAAATTATGAATCTGCAGTTTGGACTGCTTTCAGTGAGTAAGATTTATGTCTGTGTCACATTGTGTTGCCTAGGGTGCATTCATTTGGGTGTTAAAGGATCCACTTCCAAAATGGCTCATTCGTACCTCTGACAAGGTGTGGTGCTAGCTGTCTGCTGGAAGCTTGGTCAGGGTGAAGGGCCAAGGGCTTTAGTTCTTGTCGACATGGACCTTTCTATGGGGACGTCTTCTAGAAAGTGTGGACTTTGTTAGAGCCTAGTGGCTAGGTTCCAAGCACAAGCTCTCAAGAGATACAAAATGATGAATACCAGTATCTTACCTACACTACAAATTATTTCAATAAGAAATTTTCAAAGCCTACTATATGCAAAGCATTATGGGATATAAAGGAATACAAAGATGAATAATACACAGGCCATGCTTTTGGTGGAGTTTACCAATCTGTTGAAGCAGTGCAAGGGGAGGGGGTGATGAGAATGAGTAGACCTTGTGCTCCAGTAATACAGAGGCACGAATCAAGGGGTGGAGGTGCCAGGAGTGCTGAATGTGGATTGAGAATGGGAATAACCAGTCAGTTCCAGAATTTCAAATTGAACTGCTGATTTTATCTTTTATGTGCCCCTTAAATCTTCTGTACATGAATTACATCCTGGAGAGTCTTCCCTTTAAGTTTAAGTAATTGCAAAGAATGTGATTTCCTTTGTATTATATTTTTTCAACGTTTGATACGTCTCTTTTTTAAACATACTTTTATACTTTCAAGCCTTTTATTGATCATTCAAATAACATCTCTGCAACAAAAAATACGTATTTAAATTTAGAATTACAAAAATCTTTCCTGTGACTTTAGTCTTTGAAGGTTAATTTTTTAAATTCTGAACTATGCTTCTATTAATGAGTATTAATACATAACTGATGAAAATAATGTAAGTTTTGGTATATAGAAATAAAGAAGGTAAAATTTTATTGGAAATGTGTGTCTTAATGAACATATGGGGCTTTTCTCTTCAGTTCATTCATGTATTTGTGGATAAATAGGCTTTTGCTGAAATGAGAAAGAATTAAGCACTGAGCAGTATTGTTCAGGTAGATACAAAGATGGGAAAGTCAGGGATTTGTTATACCCACATGCACAGTTCGCTGGTCCCCAAGACCACACTCAGACTCAGTCGCTCATTAAGTTTGAGAACTCGCTGTAGGTTGTTAATGCTTACAGTTATGGTTTAGTGCAACAGCAGGATACAGATTAAAATCAGCCAAGGGAAGAGGCACATAGGGCAGAATCCAGGAGAGTTCCACATGTGGAGGTCACAGTTGTCTTCTCCCAGTGTAACTGTGGACCGCACTGAATTCTCCCGACAGCAGAACACTGCCAACCACAGAGACTCTCTTAAGTCCAGAGTTATCACTGGGGCTCTGTCTGTCAGGTAGATATGGTTGACTACCTCTGTGGCTGGCCTTAGTTTTCAAGCCCTCTGGAAGTCAAACTGGTACTATATGACTCAAAGTCCCTTCCAAAAGCCCCCAGGTAAATAAACAGAAATACTCTCATCAGGCAGGACATTCCAAACTTTTAGGGATTATCTCCTAGGAGCCAAAGGCAAAGTCCATCCCTTTTTCTGGGCAAGATAAATTCTTTACCGTACACCATATCACTCAGTTAAAACTCATGTCTATAATGTACCAAAAAATTGCATAATAGCTTGTCACTGAGTTTTGTAATCAGCTGACGGTTCAGTTAATTTTACTGAGAGCAAAGATTTGGAAACTAGCTGTCTTGCAAAGGTATTTGTTACCCATTCATGAAAGCCCTGTTAAATACCAATAGTGTCCCTTTGGTACCCCAGCAGTTTTACACCTTGGTGCAATGTGTACTATCGTTACATTTCATGTGGGTAAAAAAGGTATGCTTTTTACAAAGCGGGAGTAGGGCAGTTCTGCCAGGGGAGATGGAAGGGTAGCTGCACGCTTGCACCGCGTGGTCCTCGAGCACATCTGCTCTCGGGTCAGCACCGGTTCTTACAGCACTGAACAGGGACTAAGAGCAAGTTAAGAGACCAGGCTCGACTATTCTAAAGTTTATAAGCTCCGGCCTGTAACAAGGGATCTCTTACTGGCTGTCCACCCAGCCACTAGGCTGTCCGTTGGAACTGTTCCCTCTAAGATCAAACCCCCCCTCTCTCCAAGACTTCTGATGTCTGTCTCTGCCCATTATCAAAAGAGCTGAAAATTAGAAAGTTAAGAAATTGGAAAAATTATAAATCTCTGCACCCAGGGAAGACAAGCCTTTTTACTTTATTAAACAGAAAATTTCAGTTCTGTTTACCTTCTTTTCTTTGGAGGAGGTTTATCTTCTTTCCTTTGGAGGAGGCTGTGATTCTTATATCTACATAACTAAATGCCCCATATCACCCATTTCCTCAGCAAACAAATTTAAAACGCAGATGCCAAAACACCTGCTAAAAAGGTTAACGTTTTTTAGTTCCAGCTACATATATATAAAGGACTCAGTATGATGCCCAACAAGGACTCAGTAAAATACTCAAGTAGAAAAGAGGCACAGCCTGATCTGTGTCTCATGATTGATTACCCTGGCAGTGGGAAATGGATTGGGGAAGGAGAGACCAGAGACCTGGGGAGCGATTAGCAGACCTTTACGACAGTCCATGGGACATGATGTTTTCAGTTGACGGCCCGTGCAGTGTCGGGTCCCCACGATAAGATGTGTGAGAATCAGATTACTAGCGTTGTGTTTCTTAACTTTTTATTAAGGGAAAATGTACACGCAGAAAAGTACACATAAATGTGCAGCTTGTTGAATTCTCAATGTTGGAGTATTTTTCAATTTATAAGTGAAGTTGTCTGATTTGTTTTTTTTTATTCCCTCCCCAGATAATTTTTATGGTGGGACGAGGATATCTTTCTCCAGATCTCAGTAAGGTACGAAGTAACTGTCCGAAAGCCATGAAGAGATTGATGGCAGAGTGCCTAAAAAAGAAAAGAGATGAGAGGCCACTGTTTCCCCAAGTAAGAAGAAGCTTGATGTTACCTAAGAGGACAGACTAATACTCAGATGCAGATTTTTAAATACTTTCAGGGGCACACAGTTTTGTGTTTTATGGATTTGGATGCCTTGTGATCATGTGCGGGCAGCAGAGAAGTAATTGCACAGAGATGATTTTATAAAGGTTGAACAGTGGTACATCTAGAAACCTGGAATCCCAGGACAGAATATTCAGAAAGACTTGACTTTGGTCTAGCAGTTTTCAAACAAAAATTTTTGGTCTCACACACTTAAAAATTATTAAAGGCCCCCCAAAGAGCTTTTGTTTATATAAATAGTAATTGCCATTTTAGAAATTAAAACTGTTTTAAAAATGTTGATAAGTTTATTTAAGCGTAATAAAACCATTACATGCTAAATAACATTTTTATGAAATTAAAAAGAACTACATTTTCCCCACCAACAAAATTAGACGAGTGGCATTGTTTTACCTTTTTTGCAAATCTCTACAAAAAGAAGACATCTGGATTCTCTGCATTCATTATGCTGCAGTATCTTCCACCGTGTAGCTTCTGAAAGCACCACTGACTTTTGCGAAGTAATGACAGTGAAAAAGGCAGATAATACCTTAGTGTTACTACGAAAATAGTTTTCCCACAGACTGCACTTTGAGAACTACTGCTTTAATTCTTCTTGGTGGTAAGATAAACACATTCCAAGCTTCCCTACATACTGGGTCTTTTGGAGGAACGTTTCCACCTGGAGCAAAAAGAAAAGGCAGCTGTTGGTACTGTCTGCCTTTCTCTGATTCTTGGAAAATGACTATCACTTTTGTCTCTTCATGTTATAAGGCTACAGCCCTGAAGTTCACATAAATAGCCCTGATAGCACCACATAAATAGGTCTTGATAAATCAATACAGTTTGCAAGTGGGAAGTGCTAACTCCCTTAATTATCCAGCTACTGTAATCACGGAGTTGGTCTTTTGTGAACCTTCTGCCCTTGAATGCACAACGCTAGCTGGGTCTCTTAGACAGAAGTCACTGTTACAGGAGCTAGTGGATCTTTTATGCCCATCTAAAGAATTAAAGACCCAGGGCACCTGAGTGACTCAGTTGGTTGAGTGCCCAACTTCAGCTTGGATCATGATCTTGCAATTTGTGGGTTCAGGCCCCACGTTGGGCTCTGTGCTGACAGCTCAGAGCCTGAAGCCTGCTTTGGATTCTGTGTCTCCCTCCCTCTCTCTCTGCTCCTTCCCCACTCACACTCTGTCTCCCTCTCAGAAATAAACAAACATTAAAAAAAAAAAAAAAAAAAAAAAAGAATTAAAGACCAGGGCGCCTGGCTGTCTCAGTGGAACATGCGACTCTTGATCTCAGGGTCATTAGTTCAAGCCCCACGTTGGGCGTGGAGCCTACCTAAAATTAAAAAAAAAAAAAATTTTTTTTTTAAATAAAGAATTAAAGATAGAATTTATAATTTGAACATATCTCTCAGGGGCTGCCTCAGCGTGGGTAGATCTAGGTTTTACGTATTGGAATTCTAAGTTACTATTTTGAGGAAGAGTTATTTTTTTTTTTTTTTAACCCAGAAAACCACTGGTTGAAGATATCAAAGTAAAGGGACCAGTGCTGTTGGCCATTGTCAGCAGGCCTCCTATACCATGTTCTCATTTCTATTCCAGGTGCCAGAGCTTCCTGTTTAACCTGCTTGGTGTACATTAATAATGCAAATTATATCCATAGGACCACTTTTTTTTTTAAGATTTTCTTTTTTTAAGTAATCTCTACACCCAACATGGAGCTCGAACTTAACAACCCCAAGATCAAGTTGCATGCTCTACCAACTGAGCCAGCCAGGCGACCGACCCACTTTCTGAGTGGTATTAAAAGGGACAAAATGTTCATATTTCTTTTTTTTCTTTCAAAATGTTCATATTTCTAAATATAAGTAACATTTTATTCCTTGCATGATATCAGAAAATGAAATGCATATCTGAATTTTTCAGATTATTGAAGGCTACCTTAAGTACTGTTTTTAATTTTTCATTACAGGATCTCTTTTCACACTATACAAAAACATAAATTTTAAATGGCTAAAGATTTATATGTAGAAAACAAAACCTTAAAATAGGAAGTCATTTTTTATAACCTTGAGATAAAAGGCTTTCCTTATAAGCAAGAGACAAAATCCAGAAATTATAAAGGAAAACATGAGCATGTCTGACTGCAATAAAAGTTTTTATACTTCTGTATAATAAAAATAACATTGAAAGGTAAACATAGAAAAATAATTGTAGCATGTATATAATGAAGTATAAATACTGGTATTATATAAAGGCCTCCTACAAATCAGTAAGTAAAAGATAATAGAAAATGAGCAAAGGATATGAACTGGTGAATCATAAAGAAATACAAATGGCGAATGAACTTAGGATGTTAAAAGTTCTGGGACAGTCAGTAAAATGTAGAGTAACGGTGAAATACATTTTGATTTTCTCTCTCAGATTGACAATATCCAGCATTGGGAACGATGTTGGGAAGTAAGGAAGAGCCTTCCTTGTAAATTTTTTAACAGTGTTGTTGGGAATGTAAATTGGTTTGGCCCTTTTGAAAGGACTTGCTAGAATTCATAAACTTAAAATATATATACTTTGTGCTCTGGTAATTCCACTCCTGAAAAGGTATACTACAGAGCCTGCTTCCACAAGTGTTCAGATATAGACAAAAATGCTTACCATTAGGAGAAATTAAAAATCAAGGTAGCTCTCTAGATGGCATGGATGTTAGGGAGGGGGAAAAAAAAGAAAGCAATGCAGAAAAATATGTATAGAATGATACCACTTTAAATGGTGATGAGGGTGGGGATGGGCTCTGTTTTCATATGTGCATGTTTATGCATAGGAAAGGTCCAGAAGAAAGTATAGACTCTTTAACAGTGGTTACCCCTGGAAGGTAGGACTTATACTTTTTCTGTATTATTTGAATTTTTATTTGTGTGTTATGCTTGTAATTTAAAATGTTTTGTAACATTGCTTCTTTGCCTTATACTAATCATTATACAGATTATAGTTTAACTTTTAAAAAAGTTTTGGTGGCTCAGAAAAATAATAGTGATGGCTGCTAAAGTTTTATTGAGTACTTACTATATATTCTAGGCATTGTGCCAAGCCTTTTACACATGTCTCATGAGTATGAACATCTGTTATTATACTGTATGCCTTCAAAGTCATAACCTGTTTCTTTGTACCTTAAAATATGCTGAGTTTCTACATTTTGTGGATTGGTGTCTATTTGTTGTTTTCCTGTCTTCTCCTTCACTCTTGGATTGTCACCTGTCACTTCTCACTCCTGTGCCACTAGCAGTCTGGGTCATTGAGACCCTCCTTTTAATCATGTATGTGTAAGACATTTCCTATTACTGAGTTTCTTAAAGAATGAGTTGCTCTGATGATTCTGTTTGTGAAGCCATATAGTGCTTTACTGATTTATGCTCCATCTTCTTCCCAAAAGGGACTGTGGTCTGTGGGATAGGTATATAATTGGTTTAAAATTTTGTATTATTTACTGTTCCAAGGCTGGCAGATAATCTAAAATGTAAATAAAAGCTAACTATAGGTTACTTTCCCCATTTATTTTACAGAGATTAAAGCCAATGGAGTTTGGTAATAATCTTTTCTTTGTAAGGAAAAAAATACCAATTTCTTAAGCATTTAGGATAATACTCAAAACAGCGTAAGATTTCAGGTGCTTTCTTGTTAAGTATGATGCGGATATTAAAGATTAACACCACCTAGATTTTCATTCTACTTTTTTTCTTTTTTTCTTTTTTCTTTTTTTTTCCCTTTTTTAGATTCTTGCCTCTATTGAGCTGCTGGCCCGCTCATTGCCAAAAATTCACCGCAGTGCATCAGAACCCTCCTTGAATCGGGCTGGCTTCCAGACAGAGGATTTTAGTCTCTATGCTTGTGCTTCTCCAAAAACACCCATCCAGGCAGGGGGATATGGTGCGTTTCCCGTCCACTGAGATAAGTTAGATGAGTGCGCGAGTGCAGGGGGCTGGGGCCAAGGAGGTGGAAATGTGCGTGCTTCTGTACTAAGTTGGATAGCATCTTCTTTTTTAAAAAAAGATGAACCAAAGAATGTGTATGTTTTTAAAGACTAGATATAATTATTTCCTGATCTAAAATGTATACTTAGCTTTGGATTTTCAATATCCAAGGGTTTTCAAAATGCACAGACATTGCTGAACATTTGCAGTACCTCTTCTGGAGGCTTTACTTCCTGTTACAAATTGGTTTTGTTTACTGGCTTATCCTAATTATTAAACTTCAATTAAACTTTTCTCCTGCACCTTTTGTTATGAGCTATCACATGTCCCTTAGGGACTCGCAAGAGCAGTACTGCCCCCGTGTATGGGCTTGCAGGTAGAAAGGGGATGACAGGTTTTAACGCCTGTGTGAGGCAAGGCAGTGCGAACAGATCTCATTTAGGAAGCCACGAGAGTTGAATAAGTTATTTTTATTCTTAGTATTTTTTCTATAACTACTTTTTATTATAACTTGGAAAATATGGATGTCCTTTATACACCTTAGCAATAGACTGAATTTCTTTTTATAAATTATGGGTGCAGGTAACCAAAGACATTGCTGAGGAGTGGATGTCTGACATGAGTACTATGGTTGAAGCTTGGATTTTTAGTGGACAAATGTTATAAATTGAGGTTCCTTTTAAGTAGTATTTCCTCATTACTAAAGGTGTCATATACACATGGAAGGTGAATTTCCTTACAAATGCATTGCCTCCTCCTCCCCCAAAAAAGCTTAACAGAATTCTGTGAAAGTTTTGGGTTTGTTTGTTTAGATGTCTTTAGTTGCCAAACAGCAAGGTCACAGACTTCTTAAATATTGTTACTTCAGATTATACTTCCCTCTCATGCCTGTTTTAACAATCCCCTTATCCATGTGTCTCATAAAATTTGTGTTCCGTATGTTCTTTGCCCAGAAAGGTTCTTCTTCTTATGAATGAATGCTATTCTTTTTTTAATCCCATGGTACGAAGTATTTGTTAGAGCTAATACTTAACATTTTCTTATGTAAAAAATGGCTGTATTGTGGCAGTCATTAATATTCTTATTGTGAACCAAAATCTTACTGGAATCAAAAGTGAAAGAGGCAGTATTGCTGGCGTCTTATCAAAGAGATTACCATCTCTACTTGTGAGTCATTGCCAAAAGCCAGCCTCTTAAATACATTTTCATTTATTCGGTTTGGAACTGTGATGATTTTTAAATATAACGGACAGTTCAGGGTTATGCAGGCACACAGACAACATCTGCGTAAATACCATCCTTTGAAGCCAATAAAGAAGAAAATTGGGAAGACTTTAATGATATTTTAGTTCTTAGGTACCACAAATAAGTTTTTAAAATACTTTCTTGGGACGCCTTGGTAGCTCAGTCAGTTAAACATCAGACTCTTGATTTCGGCTCAGGTCATGATCTCACGGTTCGGGAGTTTGAGCCCCATGTCAGGCCCTGCACTGACGGTGTGGAGCCTGTTTGGGATTCTCTCCCCCCCTCTCTCTGCCCCTTCCCTACTTGTGCTCTCTCTCTCTCTCTCTCTCAAAATAAATAATTAAAATAAAATAACTTTCTAATTTGAATGGATGAAATTTCGTCCAGGAAAACTACCCAGTGAGAAGCATGGCATACCTTTGGCCCCTTATTTGGGCAGTTTAAGACAAGTAATACCATTCATGTTATTCAAAATGGATTCATGCCTTTCAATTTAGGCAAGAGTAGTGGAAAAGAACATTTCTCATGTTTTCAAAAATAAAAATGAGAAAGGCATAAAAGAATAGAGCATGTTGGAAAACATTAAAGTGTGGGATTTCCAAATCCTCTAGTGACATTAAAGATGTGATTAGTAGTGGGGCGCCTGGGTGGCTCAGTTGGTTAAGCGTCCGACTTCGGCTCAGGTCGTGATCACGTTGGGTTCTGTGCTGATAGCTCAGAGCCTGGAGCCTGCTTCGGAATCTGTGTCTTCCTCTCTCTGCCCCTCCCCTGCTCGCTCTCTCTCGCTCTCTTTCAAAAATAATGAATAAACATTAAAAAAAAATTTTTTTTTAAGATGTGATTAGTAGTAATTACTAAATGGGGTTTTATTTATCACAAATTGAATAGCAAGCATGTAGCTGATAAAGTTTTTACATTGGTCTGTGGAATGCTCAAAGCTTTGGAAAGCATTTTAAGGCACAGGAATCAAATGATCTTTATATTGATACAGTTCTTTTTATAGTTCTTCACTATACTTGCTTCACTCATATTTTCTTTTCTTTGCTCACCGTTTTTTCCCCTGACTACCCCCTTCACTGAAAACTACCCAGCAACCCCACTGTCTGCCTTTGACTCCATTCAGTCTCCTCTGCCAGAGGGCATTGCTGAGCTCTTCCAGCCATAGCGCTGTCTCACACTCTCCATTGTGCCTCCAAAGGGTCACCTGATAGCTCTCTTGTATTCAAACCCGGCCCCCTGGACGTGTCGTGGAAGAACATGAAAAATCTGGCAGAGCGAGATGTTTAGAAAGCGTGGATGCAGAGGAGTAGGGAGCATTAGAATGACATATGGTAGTCTCCTTTTCTGTTCTTTTATGCTGAATTGTATGTGCTTTCTCCAAATAAAGAAAAATACCGTTTTTCTAACCATATGTGGAGTCCACCTCTCTGACTAGGTAATTGAAACAGAAGGACATTCGTTCTCTTATGACCTGCTCTTTTTCTTAAAACCTGAACCCTCAGATATTTTTATTAAAGTTGATTTCCTTTTTCAGCAGACAGGCTTTTTATAAAATTTGTTTTACATGTTAGGCATTTTACTAGTCAAGTGGTGAGGACTAAGATTTTTCATCTTGATTTTTAAGTAGTTGAGGGATCACAGCATTTAATCAAATACTTTAGGTTGTTTATTTTCAGATATTAATATTGTACTAGGCATTTACATACTAAAGCATTAGTCACAATCATCCTCTTGGGGGCGCCTGGGTGGCTCAGTTGGCTAAAGGTCCCACTTCAGCTCACGTCATGCTCTCACAGTTTGTGGGTTCGAGCCCCACATTGGGCTCTGTGCTGACAACTCAGAGCCTGGAGCCTGCTTCGGATTCTGTGTCTCCCTCTCTCTCTGCCCCTCCCCTGCTTGCTCTCTCTCTCTCTCTCTCTCAAAAATTAATAGACATTACAAATATTTCTTAAAAAATCATTCTCTTTAAATAGAGACCATGTAACACAGCAACTTAAATGGCCTCTGACTCAAGTGAGTCGCTCTCGATGTAAGGAAATGAACTGCCTTTGTTGCTTAATATTATGAAACGGGTACTTTATGGCTAAAACATTTTATCAGTTACAGTCTGTTAGATTGAGAATTATTGAGTATTTCTATAGCACTTTTTATTTTATTAAATACTTCATCTCTCCTGTGATAATTTCTCTTAAGAATTTAACAAGTCCAGTGTGTCCGTGCCAGAATGTTATACTTTTGAAACTTCCTTAAAGGTCACCACAGAGAAAGAATGGGACTTGCTTTAGTTTCAGATGACTGTCCCCACATCTAAAGCAGTGATCAATTTGTGTGCAAAATAACATACTAGATTTTTCATAGCATATTTTGTCTTTAAGAAGTATACATCAAATTATATGTATGAGAGCCTCTGAAATACATTCAATTCTGGACTAAAAGATAATTATTTCGTAATATCTTAAAACTAGTTAATAAAATCCTTAGCTTTCAAATAAACAAATCTTGATGTTTAGAGTATCTAAAATCACAGGTCCTTCCCAAGTGTTCTCTCCCCTAATCTTAACTAAAGTCACATGGAAAATAGAACTTAGGTTATTCTTAGCCAGAATAGAGATGAAAAAAAAAGTTTCATTTTGGCCTCTGATTTTTCAGGCAACAGTTAAGTTAATATACCAAGATTTCAAAAAGCCACATAGTATTCTGGGTGTTTCACTTCAAATAATTGTTATTACCTCAAATAAAATAGGATAGGGGATGGGATAATAGAGATTTCCAGATACGCAAGAAGGAATATGCTTTTTTTCCCCAAAAGCAGATCCATCGCCTCTTACCCCCCAATTTTTCTTAAATTTCTCCATGATTTCAGGGTCTTATATAGAAAGAGTTTTATTGGTCCCTAAACTCTTGAGTTCTTTTTGTCTTTTTTTTTTTTCCTGGACCTGAAGTCTGTTGATGTAAAGAAGTGCATTCCTTTAGAAGCAGCAGACAGTGGTAGAATGATCTTAACTGTTTCCTTTACTGGCGTATGATTTGCAGTTTGTTGGTAAGAGTTTGTCCTTGGGCGGTTGTTTTGTGATTTTTTTTTTTTTCAAGGCTCACATTTTTAAGTTTGTAGAGTAAAACACTTCAACAAAGTGGAGTGCCTAATCATAATTAATGGACAACATCTGAAGATTTTTTCAAGTTATTTTTTAATGCAGTATATAAGATTTAACTTAGACTTTTGTCACTTTTGATACTCTCTCACTTAATAGATTAAAATTTAGCCATTTTTTAAAATAAAGATTTCTAAGTAAATCCTATTTTCACATTGGCTTCCTTCGATGAGATTTAGATTCTGCCAGATACAGTGATTACTAATTAGAATGTTGGAAATTGCTTTGAAGAAATGTATTAAAATACTGGAAAAAATAGCAACCTTAAAACCATAATGCACTCAAGCTATCAGCAAAGGTAGTGTGAATGTTTATACATTTCTAGAGTCGCTGTTAACAGCCTCCTGTGGTTATGCTATATTTGGCTCCCCAAAGTCTTAGTAATTTGGCTAATTTTTTCACTAGTGCCATATTCCCTAATCTTTTTAACTTTAAATATGAGGTAATAATTCTTTTACCCTTCCTTGACCTTTTGACTCACAGTGCCGTGGTTACTTCCTTGGTGAAAGGAATCCTTAGATAGAAAGACAGTTTCACTATGTGCAGTCCAATTAGTAATAATATTCAGAATGGGAAAACAAATGATTAATTATTGAAAATTGTTTAGGGGTGTATTAATAGTGAAGACTCTTCTTCTCCACCAGACTTGCATTTTAACTCTGCCATTTTCTAGCTGTGAGATAGCAGGCAAACTACTTAACTATTCTAAACCCCCAGCTTGCTTCTCTACAAACTAAGAGAAGGAACAGCACCTGCCTTATAATTATTGTGAGGCTCAGATACAAATGTATGTAAAGTATTCACTGATGTACCTCGCATATAACAGGCATTCAAACAGTCTCATATTAGTCTAATCGACTAATATTACTAGCCTGCAGTCTGAGGGTTCTGCCATCCAGTCATTAGCAGTCTGTTGGGATATACCAGTGTTCTCTAGTAACCAGTTGGAATCTAACAGCAATTAGAAGATGGATAGGTTATTCCTAGATTAAATAGCGTATTCATGTTAGTGATTGCTTGGATCCTCGTCACACAAGCTGTTACTACTGAGAAACGATGTTAAGGCTGGCTAAATTCCGAGAGTTGTCGGTTATTAACCAACCCCCCCAAAATTAACTACAGTGTATATAATAAGAACCAGCCTCTAGTTACAAGTAGAAGCTATGAACAAAACGATAGATGAAAAATAATGGCATGAACCCTCAAAGTCAGTAAGCTAACGGAATATAGGACCTCAAAGGGACTTTGTGGTTTATTTTTTTTTTTTTAATTTTTTTTTTTTTTCAACGTTTATTTATTTTTGGGACAGAGAGAGACAGAGCATGAACGGGGGAGGGGCAGAGAGAGAGGGAGACACAGAATCAGAAACAGGCTCCAGGCTCTGAGCCATCAGCCCAGAGCCCGACGCGGGGCTCGAACTCACAGACGGTGAGATCGTGACCTGGCTGAAGTCGGACGCTTAACCGACTGCGCCACCCAGGTGCCCCGGGACTTTGTGGTTTAAAGAATTCCTTGTGCTGACAGTAATGTTCAGTCACACGTGCCTATGTGTAATATTTTGGTAGTTTAAAAGGAAATGAACTAGAAAATGGACAGTCTAGATTTTCTTTCCTTCAATCAAATGTGTCATGTGGACAGATCAGCTGACCTCTTATTTTTATCTTTTTCCAAATGGGGAGAATTCTTGTTTCTTCCTTTCTAATCTAATAGTGGCATTATAAAAGTGGAAATGAGTTGATAATTGGGGGGCAAAGTATTCAACAAATCAGACTTACTATTTTACAATCAGTTTCTGAGAAATTTTGTTCGTTGCAGTGCTTTTCAGCATGACTAGAACCATAACATGTACATCCCCACTGGGAAGTTACTTGCAGACTTGATATGTAATTGATGTAACTGAACCCTACTCTCTATACTGTAAATTATCTTCTTTTATGGGTTTCAGCCATTTTTGCTTTTAAATTAGTTATGATGATGCTAGATTTGTAATAGATAGCTAGTCACCTTTCAGTGAGGCTTTTCTGGGTCTCTAGGTTATTTGAGATAACTTTTTTAAAATTAGCTCTTGTCCTCCCTCTACAGGAGAATTTGCAGCCTTCAAGTAGCCACACCATCATGGCAACATCTACTCTTATTTCTTAAGTCTTGTGTTCGTACAATTTGTTAACATCAAAACACAGTTCTTCTGTTCCTCAACTCTTTTTTTAAAGATACAGAATTTTCAATGCATAAGCTGGTGTGGAACAGAATGGAATTTCCCATCCAACAAAAGAGGGAAGAATGTTTTAGGAACCAGAATTCTCTGCTGCCAGTGTTTCTTCTTCAACACAAATACCACGTGCATACAAGTCTGTCCACTCCCAGGAAGGAAGAGGAGAAAGCCTGAGTTCTGACCTTTTGGTGGTCAGGCATGATGGAAAGGAGCTGCTGCTACAGCTTGGGAGATTGGCTGTGGAGAGCCTGCCGATCGGCTCTGCCCTTCTAACCGCCAGATCCGCGTGTGGCTGGTCACCTGACGGGGCAGTTTGCAATCGCCAAGCATCGTTCTCTTTCCTGTTCTGGGATTTTGTCGCGGAGCTCTTTCCCCTAGCCACCACCGTTCATTTCTGAGGGATGGAACAAAAATGCAGCATGGCCTTTCTGTGTGGTGCATGTCCAGTCTTTGACGCATTTTTATCAAGTGAAGCTGTTTTATTTAAATGGAGAACGAGAGGTGAGGATGAGATCCGTGTTGGTGTAGAGGAAAAGGGGATGCTGCATCTTTTTCCTGACCTACTGGGTTTCTGGCCTTTGTTTCCTTGCTCACTGAGGGGGTCTGCCTAACCGCGCAGGCTGGGACGTGCTGGCACACATTGCCTTCTTTTCTCACTGGGTCCAGCAATGAAGACAAGTGTTGGGGATTTTTTTTTTTTCCTCCACAATGTAGCACATTCTCAGGAAAATACAGTTGATATCTTCCTCCTAAGCTCTTCCAGTCATCAAGTACTTATGTGGCTACTTGGTCCAGGGCACAAATGCCATGGCGGTATCTATCTAATTAAAAGCCTACAAAACTGCTTGATAATGGTTTTGAATGTGAGACATTTATGTAATTTAAATGTAAGGTACAAGTTTTAATTTCTGAGTTTCTTCTATTATATTTTTATTAAAAAGAAAATAATTTTCAGATTTAATTGAATCGGAATAAAATAATACTTCCCGCCAGAATTATATTCCTGGAAAATTGTATTTTTGTTATAGAAACAACTTTTAAAGAAAGATCGTTATCCTTTTCTCTACCTAAATATGGGGAGTCTTAGCGTAATGACAGATATTTATAATTTTTAAATTAATGGTACTTGCTGGATCCACACTAACATCTTTGCTAATATCTCATGTTTTCCTCCAACTTATGCCTACACTACATCCTCCGTCCTCTTTCCAGTCTTTATCTGGAATATGCAACCGAGAATAAAAATGGTGGTGTCTCCATTCATTCTCCTTCTTCCTTTTTTCCCAAGCCTGGTCTTCAAAAGGTCGGGTAATTTGGCAGCTGAGTTCCCTTAGTAGAGAATAGAGCAATTTTAGGTGTATTGGGACTGAGGGGAGGATGCATGAGGCCTAACAGCAGTTGTTATTATAGAAAGGGCTGCTGTAGTACCAAGAACCTCATCCTTTGTCTTTGCGTAAGTGGAAAATATAATCTACTCGTAGCTTCCTTTGGCCTTTACTAAACGGTGGTATAATTGCAGTAGTAACAAAGAAAGTAACTCTGGATATATTTATTAATGGCAAATTAATGACAAATCCAGCGTAGAATCTCTTGTCAGCATTCAGGAATGTAAATCAAATCAGACATACTTAGCACAACCAAGCTATGAAGCCAAGGACCTTACGGAAATTAGGACCTCTGAAATAAATCAGGGAATTAGAAATTGGTATTTAAACATTTCAAATTGTAACTCACTCCACTATCTATCTTTCAGCCTGTTAAGCTCACTGCCATTCGATGTTTTTTGCTAAAATACCTGTATTCAGGGGAAGGCCTACTGAAAACTCCACAGACTGGTAGAAGGTTGTCCTAGTAAAATGGGAAGTATCCTGGAGTTATTGATGAGTTTGAAAAGCAATGTGTTTATCTCAAGTCCTACATGAGCAGAGCAATATCTTACAGAATTCAGAAATGGCAAAGATTCTTGTTGATCTGAACAGCATCTTGTGTGCATAATTTTGCTTCTCTTCTAAAAGCATTGTTTATTTTTCTTTTTAAATACGTCCCCATCCATGCTCTTAAGCTGGTTGGTGTGTTCCCTTTGCCAAGATTGGAGAGAGCTGGGCTGGAAAAGTAGGCCTGTCCTGCTGAGCAGGTAGAGCCCGCCGGAGGAGGCCTGGCCGCATGACTCTCCGGTGGCGGGAGCCAGCACAGCACTAGTGATAGAGGAAGCTTAGCATTGGAATCTTCAAAATAAAATTCAAGGTGATACACGTTTTTCTTTCCATCCTATTTAGAATAGGTTGCTGTCTCACTTGAAAAGAGGAAACAGACTTGATCTCAGATGAAGCTGTGCCCAGAAGCCAGGCTCAGGGTGTTCTTGGTAGATTTTTATAGCGCCCTTAAAAAGTAAAAATAAAATTTTAATATTTCTGTTCCCTTTTTTCCATCTCTAGTTTACAAATGACATGATAAAGGGGTTTCCTCTTACTTTTTCATGCTTAGACTACAGATAGACTTGTTGAGCTCCTAAGAAGATACAAGGAAGAACTCCTTGTTTGTGCAAAGCACTTTATGAATAATTTTGTACAGATAGTGTGTGGCTGCTTCACTGACTGTCTTGTAAGGTTGTAGTTAACCTGTCTTTTCCGTAAAGTGGCTGCGGTGCCTTCTATAGTGTATTTTATTTTGGGTAAGGAAAGGTGAAGCCTTCTGAAAACTTTGAGAGCAAACATAAAAGATTGTTTCAAAGTATGTAGTATTCTTGATGGACTTTTTTGTCATCAAACTAGAGTGTAGAGTTTAGACTTTTGCCACTGAAATAACATTGACCAAAAAACTTAGAAAAGGGATTTGTGAATAGAAAATCCAGTGTGACCATTCGTATTTATATGCACCTTAAAAGAAGATTCTGTCCAGCTGTCAAATTCTGGTTCCTGAACATCCAGTCCCTGATTGCACTTACGATCTTGTAGGATGTACTGGAGCGTCCTAGAAGATAAAATGCCATGTAAAGCATGTATGTTACATTTATGTTGGTGTTGGAAGAGAAAGAGCATATTACATAGTTCTAAAGAGGTAATCAAGGCTTCAGCACTGTCAACCAGAAACTCTGTAAATATTTCCTAGATTCTCCTTTGGTGCAGTCCCAGCTCTCTTAGCACACGATGTTCTCTTTGAGTCACCAGGCAGTGCTGGGGCTGCTGGATCCCCTCCCAGGCCCCCACTGCCCCTCCTGTGCACTCACTCCCCAGCCTTGTGTGGACCCCGTCTAGCTTTAGTTTGAAGCACATTGCAGGGTTCAGGTGACCTCTTCAAAAAACTACCTCCTTAGAATGAGGTAATGAATAGTTATTTATTTTAAAATATGAAAAGTCGGGAGCTCTAGAACATGAAGATGATTTAAGATTTTAATTTTTATGTGTACTTGTATTTGAGCACTCTCATTTTGTCCTAAAGGGCATTATGCATTTCAGCAGTAATACTGAAAAATGTAGCTCAGAGTTTCTGATTATTATTGCAGGTGGTGCCAGAATCTGTTCAGGGGTACGCTTCAGAATCTTAACCTTAAGTCAGTTGCATGAAATTAGATAGTTACGGTAACGGTTCACTAACAGTGATACACTTAATTTTCAGTAGGCTTGGCAAGACAGTACATCTTCTTCATAAAGAGTTAGCCGCAGCTTCATCACATGCACAGATCCTCCTGTAGAGAGACTGCCCAGCGAAGAGGGTGGAATGATGCCCCCTGATCCTCTTCTTTGTCTGAGTTGGCATCGTTAGCACTAGAATATCAGCACCTTGGGACTAGCAGATTCCCACCATTAAGGCTATTTAAAAAAACAAAAACAAAAACAAAAAACAGTAACCAGACATGGAAAGTTTACTGTGAGTATGACAGCAGATAGCTTAGGGGTCATACACTGAAACGGTGTAGATGAGGCTCTAGAAAAATACCTTGACAATTTGCCAAATGATCTTTACTGTGCCTTCACGATGCAATAAAAAAGCTAAAATTTTAGCAGAAATCAGTGATATGTGAAGAGAGCAGCCACTCTGGTCTAACTCAGCTGTGTTAATATTTTGTAGAGCGCAATGTAGACCGCAAAGATCAGTGCACTCGTGGGTTTATAGCCGAAATCACATTTAAAAAATGAGAAAACACACAGGTAAATTTTCGGTGAATAAAATTATTTTTTTAAAGCACGTAATCCCTAGTAGAGTCAGATATATTTATCACATAGAGCAAGTAGGTTGAAAATTATAGTTCAGTGACATTTCTAGAGAAACTTTTTCTACTCCAATAGGTTCTTCAAAGCATGGAACTTTTATATAACAGAAACGTTTGACAGACATTTTAAGGAGTTGCTGTCGTTTGGGGTTGGAAATAATATATGCTGGGCAGCAGTCCCTTCTCAAGAGTGAGAAGGAGGATGCTAGTAACATAGAAGACGGAATTTGATTTTATCACTTTCCAGAGTACTGCCAACCTGAACAGGGATTTTTCAGAGTTTAAAATGTAAACTGGCCTCCCAGGACTTGTTTGCAAATTAAGTGGGGCTGTCCTGGTCATGCTGTTCGGGGTGCCACGGGGGGCCCCTCTAGGAGGGGGCATTGGACCAGTTGGGGACGTGGCCGATGGCTGTGAACTGGACACTCCATGGTGTGCATTTTGTGTCTTGTTTTCATTTCTTGCCACCCCCAGGAAAGGCACTGTACTGTCTCCAGCAGGTTCTCTAGATGTTTTACTAGGTTGTAAATGCCCATAGGCTGTTGTACTCTGGTACGTATGTACTATGATGCCCATGGGCTGTTGAGCCCCAAGGAGTGCAGTAGGATCTCTGCCTGATGTGTACATTGACCAGAGGAGAGGGAGGCAGCCAGTGTATTGCTAGCTCTGATAAAATTGAAAAT